TACCAAATTTTGGTGCCACGCATGTGTGAGTAGAGCTCTAGAGATCCTGAAGCGTCTTCAAATATTACCTCTAAAATTAACCTATAAAGTAAGCGACATCAGAAGATGTTATTCTACAGGGGCTTGGTTTCAGGATACTTTCGGTTAGTATTTTCCGGATACTTTCGGTTGGTAATAAACCTATACACACCAGTAAATAACAGCAACATTTTTTTTATCGAATCCGGTGTTTATACACACTCGAAAACCTTATAAAAATTGAGGGTATAAAAAAAACACCTCAGTACCCTAATTTTTTATAAGGTTTTAGAATGTGTATAAACACCGGATAAAAAGTGTTGCTGTTATTTATTGGTGTGTATAGGTTTATTACTAACCGAAAGTATCCCGAAACCGAGCCCCTGTGTGTTATTCATATGACTATGATACACCTATTTGTACCAAACTTCAGCTAGATATTGAAAAATTGACCGAGTTATGATAAATTGATTTTTTTATGACCGGTGGTGTGGCACGTGTGTAAAGAAATCTACTGATCGTGAAGCGTCTTCAAACTATATCTCTAAAATTAATCTAAAACGTAATCGACATCAGACGATATGTTTTTGTTATTCAAATGACTATAACACACTTAATTGGATGCACAAAACCAATACATCAAAAAGTTAAAAGCTTTTAAGGGTGTATCAGTTATGAAATTACTTAGATTTGCTCAAGACAAATTTATATTAATGATTTCAGCTTCTGAAAACAAATCTGACGTGTTTACAGCTGCATGGTTAAATTACCTCCAATACAATACAGTCAAAACCTGCCATACTACATGTTATATGATTTTGTAAATTATACACTTAACTTTCACAACTTGATACGTTAGGCTATGAATGCAAATAGCATATTAAAGCAGTGCTCGTCCTTGAAGTTGTTTACAAACTAACAACTCAAATATGCCGCACAAACTTGATACTTAAAAAAAAAAAATCTTGACTGGACTTGATTCTGAGGAAGTGTAACGTCAAAAGTCTAATGTAGGTGTTTGTGACCAGGTATCTCAATGGTCTATGATAAGTGTTTGTAAACAGGTATCTCAGTGGTCTATAGTGAAAGTTTGTAACCAGGTATCTCAGTGGTCTATAGTAAGTTTTCGTGTCAAGGTATCTCAGTGAACTATAATTAGTGTTATTATACCTTCTGTTAAAATCTCGTAATCTGATTGGTTGAGAAAGATGTGAACATTTTCAATGTTACTTGCTCGTTTTACAAAGATAAAGAAGACAGGGTGTTGTTCCAAAAAATATCACATGCGCCAAACGTATGCGTGCACGGTTCGTCCCAGTGCCAGGGTGTTATTCCAAAAATTGTTACATGCGCAGAATGTATGTGCCCCAGCTGGTTCATCCCAGTGAAACTTTTCTGAAACGTTTGTCGACTACTGGCGATGCGTTTGTTAACCTAAACATGACACTCGGTAATAAAATAAAAATCACATTCGTGAGAGGGCGATATTGCATATTTTCACCCCTCGGAAAGCATTGTTAACCTCGGCTTCGCCTCGGTTAACAATGCTTCCTTGGGGTGAAAATATGCAATATCGCCCTCTCATGAATGTTATATTTATATAATTGTGACCAGGTATTTCAGTAGTTTATAGTATAATTAGAGTTTGTGACCATGCAGATCAATGATCTATAGGTAGAGTTTGTGACCAGGTATAACAATGGTCTATAGCTAGTGTTTGTAACCACGTTACATGTAATCAGTTAATTATTTTTTCCTTTTAATATTATTTCAACTGATTTTTTCACACGTTTTCAAAAGTGAAACATATAAAAAATAGTCAATGTCATGGACCTAGGTCAAGTCTAATTCCTTGGTGAAATGACGAATCCTATAGATCTACAGGTATCTTATTTTTTCAGATCTCGTGAGTTACGTCCCCTTAACACATTTCGACTCATAGGTCAACCCACGGAATTAGATTGCTATCTAATTAAGTCTGTGCTAGAATTGACCATTTTCAGCCAGTAAACTTGCTTAACTATTCTGATACCCAATGATTTCATCATATAGAACAATTATAAAGACGATTGATTTTTTTACCTAGGGGCATATACACATCTTTTATAATTATTCATGTTTTGTAATATTTGATTTTGAGCACACAGCTTCTCCCCCATAACAAAAATTCAAAAGGTTGGCAAGTATGCATTTATCATTTATTACCATGTATCATTTGTTTACAAAAAATAAGTGCAATTAACGCCTTCATTAGATACAGATACAATCAAAGGGTAGAAAAAATATAAGAAATAATAACGTTCATGGTAAAAGACATTGTACATGTAAAGGGGACTTAATGGAATGCTTGATGTTTGTCATATTTAGTAAGTTTCGTTGTTTTTAATTAAATACAAGAGACAAAACTGATGAAATATCCTGTAAAAGAAACTTTTTTCAACACGTCTAAATACATTTTGTGCATTTAAAAAGTATGGCAATGTATTTTCCTTAACACATTACAAACTTCCAGGAATTGGTCTGCCGCCTTATTATTTATAAATGAATCTCGAATCCCTCTCGACTTCCAACCTTGAACCACAGCGGATCAATTCGTTACACATGTCTTAAATATACTATATGCTATGCTGATGTATGGGTCACAGCATTATGTGTGCTGTGACCCATATCAGTATAGCATGTGTATTTCATACATTTGTAACGAACCCAGGTGTGATTGAACCTAGGAATGCCCGGCCTCCTCTGCCCCGGACGACGCAATATATAAAAAAAATCTCGTCGTCAGAAAGCTACGTTATCGCAGCTAGATTGAACCACAGGGGTTTGTTACACCTGTGTATGTGTATGTGTCCTGTGACCCATATCAGTACCCAAAATCGCACCAGGGTAGGGAGGGAGACGAGGGAGTCATGTTGTGACCAGAGACATATATATAAAGCCAGTAGTATGTCATACATCTCTGTTGTGACACAGACACGAATTCGAACTGACAAAGTAGCTACGCTATGCATACTTACTTTGAACCCACACATGTGCATACAATGATACATACATGTATCTCAGGCGGCTCATCAGCATTGTCGTTGATTAACAAAGAAACCCTTCGTCTGACCGGTTCTCCTTTGTACAGAAGTGACTAGACTGGCACAGGCCTAGCTTTCGTGAAGCCGACGGTTTCTTGTTGTAGACCTTTGAGTCAAACATGAAACTTGTCTGTGATGAGGTCAAAACTGGTAAAATTCACTCCAAACTCTTGTTGATAATTTTATATCGGATATAACCTCTCGCGTTCGGTATTGCAGGCTTTACGGTGAAGTTTTCTGTTCCGGTCTTTTTCAACCAATCAGAATGTGGCAAATTTTGAAGCCCGCGATTTTCAAACCGCAAATATTTTTATTGCGAAACCCGATTCGTCAAAAACGTCGATAACTTAAATTTTTAAACCCGTTTTAGGGAAGAAACACTTCAAACCATAACGAATACGTTTGCAAAGATCACGTAAATAAGATACGATTTGAAACATATTTTTTATTCCCACAGAGATGTTTAAAACGGCGATTGTTTAGCTTCTGATATATTAATAACCAATCAGAGCGTCACAAATTTTAAAGTCCGTTCTGCAC